GGCCGCACCCGGCGCGGCGTTGCGGTCTGCACTCCTCCAGAGCCCGGGGAGGCAGCGAACTTGAGTGTCCGCAGGGCAAAGGACCGCCGAGGAATGCGGGCGGGGGGGCGTCTTCCAGGTTTTCTCCACATTTTCGTGGGTCTGGAAGAAGAAAAAACCGCACAACTATTCAGTGAGGGTTGGTCTGGCTTCCGACAAGTTACCTGCTGCTCATGGTTGATAATTACTTCTCTGTGCAGTGTGGATTTTTTTTCCTAAGCAGACATCCTCCCATCTATATAAAACACACGCACACAGACACTTATGTGCTTTCCCTGCTCTGTTCTGAAGCTAGACATCTTCTTCCGTATTTGAAAATTACAGGACATGCACCATGCTAATGTTTTACTACAGCGTTTAGAATGTGCATGGTTTAACGAGAGCTGCAGACAGAGCTGGTTTTCTGTAGAGGCTTAACGCTCGAGCTAGCAATTTTTAAAAATCAGTGCACATCTGCAGAAATACATGGGTAGTTGCTGCCATCGGTTAAGTAGTATATTAAGGGCAGAGATGCATAGGAATGACATCCTATTTTATAAATGTGTGTAAGTAACAATTACTGTATAAAGTGTAGATAACAAGTGACTGAGGAAATTCTGACCTGGAGCTATTTATTATAGTGCCAACTGTGACCCTCAAGTTTATTTGCACAAAATTTAGTAAGAGCTCAAAGGAACAGAAGTCACCCTTCCTGAAAGACATTGTTAGGAGAAGGTTGGATGCAGTTGTCTTGTGGAGAGGTGAGATGATGACTTATGTACTACTTTGTCAAGGAAAATCAATTACCATGCGTCAGAGGAGGGCCTGACATTCCTTCCTTCTTTCACACTCCAAATAATGCTCGTAGGTGTGATCAGTGCAGAATTCATACCATAGGCAGGGGTGTTCTAATGGCTGGGAGTTTCTGGTCAATTAAATCTGGCAGCAGCAATGAACTTTGGGGTTGGGGGTTTTCCCCAATACTGATCAAGATGAAATTAGAGTATTTCTCTTGATTTTTAAAATTCTTCTTTTCATTATTTGTGTAAGTGTTGACTCAAGAATACAGATAAGATATTTTTGGGAGCACTGGTCTTTAAGGAAAAGATACATTCTAGTGATACAGGCTACACAGAGTATGTAACTTTTGGGGCTGGCTTGTGCATTGCTCTGTGTAGATTTGCTGGTGGTAGTTCTAAGAAAAATGTAGGGAACTTTTTTACTGTTTTCAGGTTTGATCACAGTGTAAACAGGCAAATATAAAGACATAGCTGTGAGCTTCCTGTCTGAATCATTTTGTGACATTGGCAAAGCAAAACAGACTAACAGGCCTCACTCTCACACACTGGCTTGAAATTGAGAGTCTGACTCTATGAGAAATATGGGGTTTCTCTGTGTAAAGTCAAAGTTGAAGTGTTTGTTTTTTCCTGGCACCTATCATTATAGTGTGTATTTCTGATATTATGTTGCAGAGCCTGCTGAATGGATTAATGTGTTACAAACCCGATGACCCAATTGAATATTTGGAAAGCTGTTTGCAGAAAGTGAAAGAGCTTGGAGGATCAGAAAAAGTGAAATGGGACACTTTTGTCAGCCCAGAAAAGAAGACCCTGCCTCCACTCAATGGAGGACAACCCAGGAGGTCTTTTTTCAGAAATGGTAATGTATTAAATATAAAAATTATTGTATTTCTTGCACTGTGGGTGGTTTTACATCCACTACTGAATTATTTTATACTTACTTCTATAGCAGATGAGGCTTCATTCTGATTTTCCTTAGGCAAAGGACTTCAGGATTCTGTTTCCTTGCATTTTGGCATTTGTTTCTCTCTTCCATATTGGATGCTATGCAGGAGAGGAAATTGTGATCTCTTGCAGCCTAATTATGGGTGTTTGCAGTGTGCATGTTTAACACAGTAGTGGAGAGATTTCTCATATCCTACCTAAAACATTTGCAAAGATGGGGGTAAAGGTGACTCAGTGCGCTTGGCTTGTACTTTCAGTTGGTCCTCATGGATGATGTGCATACTAACTTCAATGCAGCTACACTAGGTTGTTTTTCTAGTTTATATGGGAGCTATGTGTTAATTTAGTAAGTACAGTGTGAAAGATAAACTCATAGAAAAAGGTGCGTCTCATAAAATCTAAGCAAATGCCGTACCAATACCTGTAATTATTTTATTTGTAATGTTAACAAAGAGTAATTAGCTCATCTCTCAGTTGCCATAGTTATTCTTCCCTGCCATCCAGCATTTCGTTAAAATAATTAGCAAGAATACTATCTCTGTGTAAAATGTGTATCACCAGAAGAGTTCTGCTTAGTAGTACAGGTTATTGGCACAATACAAGGCTTTTCTTCTCAGAAGCCACTGCTGAACTCGGGGTACAACAGGCAGATTTCCACACAAAAGCTTGTGTACTCGTAAAGAAACACCAAAGAAAACTGGCTTCTAGTGCTTCCCATGTAATAGATGAGCTAAATAGAGGCAAGGGATATTTACTACAGTAACGGCAAGCACATTGTAAAATTAGGATATATTTATGTTTGTTATACTTAGTTAAATCTGTGTACACAGTAGATTTTGAGTTTTCTGTGTATTTCCACAATTCCCCGTTTATCTTACTGTTTTACAGTGATGCCTGATAATTCGAACTTCCCGTACCGACGGTATGACCGACTCCCTCCCATCCAACAGTTTTCCATAGAGAGTGACACCGACCTCTCTGAAACTGCTGAGCTAATTGAGGAGTATGATGTATTTGATCCTGCAAGACCTCGGCCAAAAATTATCCTTGTCATAGGTATGAAGGCAGTCAGTTTAACAAGATTGTATCTTCATTACTTTGCCTTTTTATTTGTGCTGCAAATACACCAAATGCCTTTGTGTATTTAAATACAATTTTTCTATCTGCCATAGCAAGTGATGCAGCCCAATAAGAGTGTATCAGGAAGTTAAATCATTAGTGCTGAGGATATAGCATCCCAGCTGTAAGCATTTTAGGGGTTACAGTGAGCACCTGTGGTCATGTTCTGTCAACTGCCTATCAGCAGCTGGAGAACTCATGGTTTGCTTATGGAGCACATCTACCAGTTTGATTTAACCTAAAACAAACCTGGCCCATGCATTTCAGGACAGCTCCACCATGTGAACCAAAGTGCTCTTCCAAAGCATGTTCCCAATCTGAACTAAACCACTATTGTAGATGTACTCAAAGCTGCTCACAAAAAAGGGTATTTAAAAATACTGGATAAGCCAGCTCAAAAAGGTGATAGGGAACTGCTGACCTCTGTACTTAGAACCTTGAGAATTCATGCATGTCCAGCTGGAGTGGACATACGTGGTCACTAGTCCATTACATCAGTTTGACAACTGAATCCTGTGCTAACTTCATGGACAGTGAGCGACCAGTTAGCATGAGGTAATTTGCTCTTTTCCCCAAGTTCTCGTGTGCTGTTCAGTGTCCTTCCTAAGCAACTTGTATTTCCCAGCCTCAGACAAGCATACAGTTTTTATTAAGAAATAGCTGCAGTTTAAGTCTAAATCAACATTTTATTCTGTTTCTGAATTGAAGCTCTCGTATTAGCTTCCTTATCATTGGGCATAGTTGCCTTTTGAAATTTTATCATCAGGCCTAATTCCCCGATTCTCTGGACTGTTTAAATAATTACAGCAGACATGTCAGGTGATGGAGAATCACATTTTTAGTCTATAAAGCCTTACGCATATTAAAGAGAGATACTGCTTCCATAACAGAGAATAGTATGTAGAATTGTAAAAGAGAATAGGCTCTGCATACAGCAGTTCTCAGAAATGTGATGTTGGAATATACTGAAAACAGAAAAGCAGGCAGTCTTCTAGATATTTCAGGTATGCGAAAAGAATTGCATAGTTATTTCAATTATGTTAAACTTCTCTTTCAGAATAATAAATCTCAACATGCAAACCTCTCCATGCACCATTGACCTATGAAGCTTGCAGTAGATGGAGAAAAACACATGCCTTTCTTTCATCTTAGTTAATTAGCTAGCCTTCCTTTTCATAAAGGAGAAAAACTGGCTCCTTTTCAGTGACCACAGAAGGCTTTTAAGGCATTGAAATCCATGTAGCTCTGTTGCAGTAGGGTGATGAATGAAGGTTTGATCTAGGTGAGATAAAGAGAGATTGGCTTTCACCCCTGGAACTGAGTGCAAGGGTATTTGAAATGAAATCCTTGAATGCCAGCATACAGTGAACAGATCATGGACTTTACAGAGCTTTCTTCCCCCATTTATATAGGGAACGGTATAAACATTGCACAAAGGCTATTTCAAGTTTATTTTACAAATGAGTTTCTCTGAGTTTCTCTATTATAGTGTGATCTGTTAGAAACACAATACTATATGTAGCTTATCAGCTATTGTCCAATTTTGGACAGTATCAAGAAAATTTCTCCCAAATTTACCTAGTTCTTTGAAGAATGATAATACACTGAATGGAAGGGAGAAAATGAAAAAAGTGCACTGTCAAGAGACAAATATTGTACACCGAAAAAGCTGCATATTTTTCAGTTTACATAAAATGCCAGTAAAAACTTCAGTTACACAAGCTTTTTACATCTAACTAGTGATAACTAATCGCACTGTCTAGCTCAAATAGTCCCATTCATTGCTGGGGACTGAAATAAAGTTAAAGACCCGTCTTCTGCTTTGCACATTAGGTGAACTTTTCTTTAATAATGCATTAGTCCAAGATCTTTTTAATGCTTCCATAAAGGTTTTTACAACTTCTTTGCTTTATGAAATCTATCATCCTTATAATGAACCAGGTAGCTCCAAGGCAAAAGAGAACTCACTTGTGAAGTGGGGCGGGGGGTTGGGTGTTTTTTTCTGTGCTTGCAGAAAAGTCTTCTGGTGAAATATAAAGCTGCAAAACTGCAATGTGAGTATGTGACTGGATTTTAGAAAAACCAGATGGAACCAGCCAGGATGGCACACATCTGAATCACTGAGAAATTAAGTTTCTAAGGCATTGTAACACCAGAAAACTAGATTGTGTTTACAGATGTGTTTCCTAGCAGATTTTGACAAATACTTTTTTACAATTGATACAGCCTGAATACAAAGATCTTAAAAAAAATAATTACCTGGTGGAATTAGCTCCATAGTTCAGTATGTTTTTAAATTGTGCTTAATCAAAAATATTAGTGAATATTAAAAGAATACGTTTTCCTTTACAATCAAAGTTTAAAGGATAGATCAAAGATAGTACTGTCAGCAGTCAGCTGGCTGATTGGTTTAAATCCATAGACAAAACTAGATTAAAACAACTGCTTTAGTAAAACTTTCTGGGCCTACAAATCTTCACTTGAAACCAGTTAGCAAACATGATTTTAGATGCAACAAATGTTCACTAGTCTAGACATCTTCTATGTAAAATAATCATACTTTTCTTGAATAATGTATAATCTCAGAATAAGTTAAAATAATGAAAAAACAGAAGTGTTTTTTTGTAAACAGTTTTTCAGTATGATTTATTGAACAGTCAGGAACGAATACATAGTTCAATAAATTACAGAGATTTGCTGTGGGAAGTAATATTTTCCTATCACTTTTCCCTTATTTTATTACCTGAATGTTTCCCCTTATCTTGTAAATGGATAATCCCATTTAGGAATTACCCATAGAGGGATATTTTTGGATTAGAAAACCAAAATCTATGAGAAGTTTGTGAACATTAAAGCAAATACTTTATTAGGTTTTTTCTGCTTGAAATTCAGACTGAAAGTGCCAAACTACACTTTTTTCTTTACTTCTCTTTAATGGCAAAGCAAAGCTCTCCCTAACAGGAGTGCGAAGCCTGCCTGCTTGGTTTCAAAAAGTTTTTTTCAGCTATTTTGTGGTTTTACAGAGACTGATGTTTTCTCAAGTAACAGTAATGTTTTTTCTGATATCTTTTGTATCTCTGTTGGAATGTGGATACTATTTTCCTTGTTGTAAAATTTTCTGTTTCTAATTTTCTACATGTTACCTATATGTGCTTTGCATCTTTATTTTCTGGGATGGAACACAGTCTGTTTCAAATGTGTTTTGAGTCTCTGGGGAAATAAACTGAATTCCCTTCTTTAGAAGTTCTATATCTGCAGAAATTATACACAGCATTGGCTGCAGTATGTTTTATAAACCCCTTGCTCTGAAGCACAGTTACAATCAACTGCCCCTTTTTTCCAGTAGCTAGGACTATTGCCAGTAAATAAAGTTACATAAATTTGTAGTAATAAATGATACATGTATGTATAAACACACACACACGTAAGATACATTATTTATATGTTATGCTCATTAGATTGCAATATGTGGCTTTAGAGAGAGAGAGAGAGGGTTGCTTTTGAAATCTTTACAACAGAGTGAATAGGAATTCCAGTAAGGAATAATAATCCTATTCATTCACCTGGAAAAATTTGTTCCATACAAACTGGCAGCAATTGTCAAACAATTAGCTGCACTTCTAGTGCTGTTGTTTTCATCCATGTAAGAAAAAAAGACACTGAGAATCAGTCTAAACATGCTATCATTCCAGATTACCGAGAGCCTATTATAAACCGCAAACTACATGGAATTATCTTGTTTGAACATTTGTGATACAGCAGTGAAACACAATGCGAGGTTTGGTGAAATGCATTTGTCATGGGCAAAGCTGAGCCTGCTGTCAGAGGGAGTGGGGAGAGCCAAAGCAGAATTGCTTTGTAGCCACTTAAGCGGAGGAAATGATTCCTAGTATATCAGATGCTTGCGTATCTGCAAAAGGGAAACATCCTTTAGTCTAACAAAGAGGATAGCTAAACCATCTATGAAAGAAAGAGTTCAAGCTGAATAAACTAAGCCCATCTACATCACCTAGAAGAACTGAAGTGCAAGATTAGCTGTAAAACCTGATATAACCTGCTGGAAGGAGAGTAAGCAGGTGCCTTTTAGGAGGGAAACAGCAAGTGAATTGAATGAGGGGAAAATATTTTTCAGTTGCAATTTTGCTGTACAGAGATGAGATACAGTTTTTCTTTCATTTCTTTGCTTGTGTGTTTTAAGAACATCTGTAGCCGTATTGACTAGTTGGGTGTTCCAAATGAATTCTTATATTTGCATTTATCTTACCCTGGCTTGGTTTAAGCATTATTTAAACTAATTGAGTAATGCTGAAACTCTTTTTTCCCAAGGGTATAACTAAAGTGCGGGCAGGGTATGAGAACACCTGAAGAACACACAGGTTTCCCTGTGTGTTCTCTTGAAGTGGATCCCAATCTGAGTTACAAAGAGCAAGTGGAGAGCTACCATCACAGCATCAGGGTACAGAAGAGTTCCTAGTGACTATTGGCGACACTGAAAGATCTCTGACATGTAATACTGGGGCATGGAGAGTTACACAAAGAGTGTGTCAAAACCATATGTGAATAAATAGTGCAAAGCTTATCCTGCAGTCAAATCTATATTCATTACATAAATGCCTAAAAGCTGTTTATGGGAATAGCTCATTGGATTCATATTTACTTTCATTACATTGCTCTATTTTTTAAAGTTCATAGAAAATGTGTATTTTTAATAAATCTTAAGTCTTTGTTGGAATAGAATTTAATGTTCTTACACACAATTCCCCAAAATATCGCTATTCAGTGTTGGGAACTAATATTTTGTTTTGGTTTTGCTTTGTTATGCTGTTCAGTAACACACTTGTCTATATATAAGCATTTCCTTTTATCAAAACGATCTCCTGCTTTTACATACTGGATTCCGGTTTCTCTGTTCCTCACATCATAGTGTGTCCTTTTAGTTCAGACATAATGTCTGGTTTGGTTTTTTACATACATTCCTTGCTTACGCTGTCCAGCTGACCTTCACTTCAACATTCCTTGCTATGTAATGTAGCTGTTTTCTGTGGTTTCAATACCTACTCTTCCTGTGCTTTATTGAAGGGTCTTTTTATTCTTCAAGTTGTCCAGCAAGCTGAACCTAACAGATTGGTTCTGTATCAGATGCTTCAAGCATCAATACCAGAAGTATGCGTAGTTCAATAAATGTCCTTGTACCAAATCACTATGGAAACATTTCAGCTGATTATTTAATATTTTTCTGTATTTTAAAATTAGAAAACCTCAGAAACTCATGCAAGCATATTTAGGAGCAGATTTTATTAGTTCCATTTTCATGACTAGTCCATTGATTTAATTGTCTCATTTAATCAAGTATGATTCTTACTGACATGAATACACTTCAGACTATCTGGCTGTCTTTGGATTCACAGAGGTCAAGAAGGGACCAGTTCATTGTCTGTTCCTCTACTACAAATCAAGAAAAATTCCTTTCCAGGAACAGCTTTAGAATGAGGTCAGGCCTAAAAGAGTGTGTTTGGTTTTAATTCACAAGTAGATTTGTTTGGGTTTTTTTACTTCATTTTGCAAACTGTTACCTTTACAAACAGGTGGACAAGATCCGTTTCTAATGGCTGATAACAAGTCATGCAACTGCAAGATTTGCTCTAATAACAGTTGGAAAATTGATGATGATAACAAAGATTTCACATGTGATTGGGTACTTCAGATGAAAGGTTAATTTAATGTTTTGCTTGTAATTAACAATAGGTGGCCCAGGCAGTGGTAAAGGAACACAGAGTTTGAAAATAGCAGAACGTTACGGATTTAACTACATATCAGTTGGTGAATTGTTAAGGAAGAAGATCCACAGCACAAGCAGCAATAGAAAATGGAGTCTAATTGCCAAAATAATTACTACTGGAGAACTGGCCCCTCAGGTACAGCATATCCTGTGTTAATGTTTACTTTTGAAGGATTTGTACATGCTGTAATAATGTGCACCATCAAGAAAACCTCCTTTACAGTATGAAATAAACAACTTCTTTTCTCTGTGTAAGGAAACAACCATAACTGAGATAAAGCAGAGGTTAATGCAGATCCCTGATGAAGAGGGTATAGTGATTGATGGATTTCCCAGAGATGTTGCCCAGGCAATCTCCTTTGAGGACCAAGTAAGAGATTGTTTTTATTCTTAAAATAACTTATATATCTCTACAACAGTTAAGCTTCTTGAAGTCATCAGTCACAGTCAGATTCCAAGAAAGGCTAGATGTTATTTCTAACTGTGCATTGCTCTTTAAATCCCCGCAAGTTCATAATTATAGGCTGACGAAAGGTTTATGTTTTATTGTGTCCTGGCTAAAGGCAGAATATTTTGTAAAAAGGCAATGTGATAATATAACGAATAATCCAAGCCTCTTGTCTCAGCAATGAAAATCCCCTCTCAAGATGAAGAAGAAATAACATCAAATCTAACAGTTCCTGTTTTTTGTATCTTAGTGATTTAGAAAGTGGAAAGACATTATATTTCCATATCTATTTGTTTAATTTAATCTGCATTAAGGGAAACATACTTAAATCAATGTATATCTTCACAATGCTTTTAATTTCAAATTTGTTACAGTGCATTGGAAAGACTGGAATAAAATAAGGGTTAAGACTGCCCACGTTCAGCAAGTTTTTGTAGAGATGATGATCTTTTTTTAGAAATTCAGATCATTTTGGTAACTAAACTACAATTCTAAGGTTTAGTCAGCTAAAACTGTATTCCCAAGTTCTACTCACATGTTGTTTTCATGCGTGTATTTTAAACTAATCTAAAAATACTAAATTCAGTGGAAAAACAAACAGCTTATGTCATTTTCTGATCAAACACTGTTAACATAACAGTTATGGTCACGAGTGAAGGTTGCGGTTTCAGTGCTGAATTTGTAGAGTGCCTCATGCAGAGAGTCTCAAAGTCCTTCACAATTCCTGGTGTACTACCATTTCTGTTCTTTGAGTTCCCAGTGGCATTGCCAAGACAGAAATAACAAAACAAAGCAGCCAACGAGGCATTTCATTAGCATGCTTTTATAAGGTGTTATTCTGGGCAAAATATAGAAGACTGAATTGAGGAAATTAAAGGAAACAGACAAAATAGTTATTACAGAAAATAGTCAATGGTTGCCAACTATATCTCCTTATAATTAACAAAAGAGAAGATTGACTATTTTATAAGTGAAACAGCAGAAATTTAGGCTTAATGGTCACTTCCTTGCCTTATTTTTTTGTCCAGTACATTGTGTGATACTGTGACTTAAGTGCATTTCTTGGTGCTATAATTTTGTGACGATGTTGTGTTTGATGAAAGAATGGGGGATGTGGAACTGGAAGAACTGACAGAAGTTAAATTAAATGCTTTGAGTTACCCTAGGGTCAGATTCTCTTTCTACAAAGGAAACCTAGTTAAACAACACTTGCACACCCATCACAGGGTCCATTAGTAATACCACCAAGAAATGGAGTCCAGGAGGTAACAGAAAAAGCTCAGGCAGTGCTGTGCTGTAGAAGGGGAGAAAGATGGATACTATGTTTCATATATATGTTAACCTTCCCTTTACACCTTTCTAATATGTTTTTTATAGTATTTAATCATTTAACGTGAAATACTCTCCTCTGCCAGCTTGGTTAGCTCTTATTGACTATAGAAACCTACATAGAAAAAAGACTGATAGAATGACAGATGATAGAAACCCGAAACTTTGACTCCTTCTTAGTATGTACTGTTGCTTTAGGGATCCTGTAGATTGGTTTGTTTGGGTTTGGAATTTTTTTTCTTTAAAGAAAGGATGGATTTAGTCATTTTAGACCCAACCATATTCTCAGAGTCCATTTGTTTTCAGTGTAATGAGTTTTGCTAAATCATACTCCTTAAGGCATGATTCTTCCTGAAAGACAGATGACTGTGTCTCTAAAAAAATCCCAGAGCACTTCATATAGGACCACCTTTCAGCCTTATCTATACTAAAATAAATATGGGAAAGAAAGAATCGTAGAGCTTTTATATGAGCACAGGAAAGAAAATTTGGTCTGTTTAAGCTCCCCCTTTTCACCTTTTATTGCAGCTGACCTCTCATATGAGCATGTGTAAAGCCATTGAAATAAATGTGCAAAGGATGTAGTTATTTCAACATAAAACATCTATTTAGTCCAGTGGGATATATGCAGTATTATTTCTTGGGTTTGCACTTTAAAGAAATAAAATATGTTTGTTTTTATTAAAATTCTCTTTAATAAGCCATAATGCTACAACCATAAGTAGGAAGGCCTTGTGGTAAGGAAAGGGGATTATCAGCAGATGTGGTATCCATTTTCCTTCACAGGATGAGGCTGACAGTAATCCATGGCACGTCAGGTTGTTTACATTAAGTGTGCTAACATTTTTAAGGCCCTGAGAGATCCCTCAATGGGAAACATAATTGAGTCATGAAGAATTCATTAATTAACTGTTGCGGTGATTTGTATAGGTCTGCAATTAAAAATGCTGCGGGTGTTTTCCACGGCAAGATGAGAAATAATTAGTTTTAATTTCAGCTTTGCTTAACTAGTAAGACACTTTATAATTGGAAGATCTATTAAGCAATGGAATGAACATTCCTCTGTAGAAAATGGTCAATGCAAATAGTCAAATCACATTATTCTGTAATTCATATGTCTTATTTTTACAAAGGCATCCTGTGTAGAACACTGAGATCTATTGATAAAAAGTTCTCAATAAGAACTAATTCTCACTGTTACTAGTAATTTTGTCATGGGTGGATACTTACTGTTACAGATAGTCCCTTCGAGATCATTGCATGCTTATGTACCCTAAAACAGCAGAAAAGGTTTGACAAGCCATTTAAAAGGTTACATTTAGGGGAACTGTCAAAAGATGCATGACGTAGGAGTTACTATTCATTTAACTTTTCATCACTCATGATCCCTTCATAGCTCTTAATTGTTTTGATTACAAGGGTTCTAAAATGCAATTGTGTGCTTTTGAATAGTGACTTTACATTATCATTTGTTCCATAAAGCAGCTAGAACACTTTTGGATTTCATGATGTGAATTAAAATAATGATGGTAAGTTTGTACAAGGGTAAATGGAATATGCTGCCTTTGTCAGTTCTTTCAGCCATATAGGATATAAATTAGATGCCAATGGAAGGAATGAGCAGCAGAGGCAAGGGTGACTGTTCACTTATCCTTCATCGTTTGAGTATGATGGAATGCATATTCATCTGTAATCCCATGTGTTATGGTTTAACCCCAGTAGGCAACTAAGCACCACACAGCCACTTGCTCACTCCCCCACTGTGGGATGGGGGAGAGAATTAGAAGGGTAAAAGTGAAAAAAACTTGTGGGTTGAGATAAAGACAGTTTAAAGCAAAAGCTGCATGCACAAGTAAAGCAAAACAAGGAATTATTTCACCACTTTCCATGGGCGGCAGGTGTTCAGCCATCTCCAGGAAAGCAGGGCATCATCACACATAACGGTTACTTGGGAAGACAAAATGCCTTAACTCTGAACATTCCCCCTTTCCTTCTTCTTCCCACAGCTTTGTATGCTGAACATGATGTTGTAGGGTATGTATCTCTTGGGTCAGTTGGGGCTAGTTGTGTACCCTCCCAGCTTCTTGTGCAACCCCAACCTACTCACTGGTGGGGTGATGTGAGAAGCAGAAAAGGCCTTGACTGTACAAGCACTGCTTAGCAATAACAAAAACATCTCTGTATTATCAACACTGTTTTCGGCACAAATCCAAAACAGAGCCCATACTAGCTAAGAAAATTAACTCCCAGCCAAAACCAGCACATCATGGAAGCTTGAAATAAGCAAAGAAGCACTCAGTTTAAGCAACATTTTCCACTGCATAGCCTTTCTCCTTTGCCATTGTTTACACAGACAGAAACAAACTCCAAAAATATATCTAGTAATCCCAAAAATAAATTGTAGGGGAAGAATATGGAGGACAAGTTATTGAACTGAATGGAAATAGAGATGAGTAATACAAGATATTCAGACAGTAATCTGAACAAATGTGAGGAAAATAGGAAGCCTGTAAACAAAATAGGCTACACAAACCTGACATCATTATAGTTCAAGAGAGCATGTCTGGTCTTCACTGATTGTAAGAAGTCTGTATTGTTTTGTTACCCACATGTTCCTCTTTGTGAGTCATGATACAGTGGGATCAAGAAAGTACCTGGACCAAATTTCACATAAAGGGCCAGGAAGTCAAAACTTAGACTAGATACAAGGTAGCCACAGTGGTCAATGAAAGGAGAACCAGGAGAGAGCCTGTACAGTTTTTGTTCTGAGCCACATCATCTCCTCTTTCTCCACTAGTGCATGTTATGGAAAGCAGGTCATGACCAGCGGAAAGGCAAGGCACAAAGGGCGTAAAATGTCTTGCTCCCAAACACTAATACTATAGCTGCCTTCTGAATGCTGTTTCTGAACCTTTCTATATCTATTGTTACATGGCTTTCACCAATAAAAACTGTGGTGAGTTATTGTAAAGATAAACTAATCTATATTGGAAATGGTTCGTCATATTAGTAGAGGAAAAGGTCAGCTAAGGTGCCTGGTTTCTCTTGCAAGCACATGTAAAATCTAGCTGTGCTGTGTTTACAGACATCTTTAATGTAAAAAATTATTTAGGCTAAATTAATTCATTCAGTTTCATGCCTCACATAGCTGTTACTGAGACTTGACACTATTTAAGCTTTCAGAATTTTTCGTTTTGGGAAAAAATCAAATGGATACCTATATGTTTGAACTGTAGTTAAAGTACCTGTCCTGCATAATGTTCTAGTATAGAAAAACAAAATAATAATGAATTATTGTGGACTTCACTTGTAATTGCTCTTGATACTACCAGCACATTTTTATCCCTTTGACTAATCCAGAAGCTGAACTTTTCTCTGGGAAAAATGTTATTTTTAGTAATTGAGTCAAAGCAAGCCAACTTATGCTAACATTCCCAAACATAGGTATAGCTAAAAGATAACGATTTCTTCCTTATTATGTTGCCAAACTCTCATGTGGACACTAAGTTCTCAACGTGTTGCTAGGCAGAATTGTATTAAAACACATTGCATCTCAATGACTGAAGTGCCTAAGATAAAGCAATGTGTCATTT